GCTCAGCCGCCTGGCCGTGCTGCTGACCCTGCCGGTGGCGCTGCCCGTGGGCCAGTTGCTGGAGCTGGCGGCGCGGCCCGGGCGGCTGCGCGAGCGCGTGCTAGAGCTGGCCCGCGGTGGTGGCGACCCCTACAGCGATCTCAGCAAGGGCGTGCTGCGCTGCCGGACCGTGGAGGACGTGCTCACGCCGCTCGAGGACTGCTTCATGCTGGATGCCAGCGCCGTGCTGGACTTCGGCGTCCTGGCCAGCATCATGCAGAGCGGCCACACGCGCATCCCAGTGTACGAGGAGGAGCGCTCCAACATCGTGGACATGCTCTACCTCAAGGACTTGGCCTTCGTGGATCCCGAAGACTGCACCCCGCTCAGCACCATCACCCGCTTCTACAACCATCCGCTCCACTTCGTCTTCAACGACACCAAGCTGGACGCTGTCCTGGAGGAGTTCAAACGAGGTAACGGGACATCGGGGAGGGGACACGAATGCCAGCGCTCTCCGCTGGAAAAAGGGTGGGGGTTTATGGAAGCCTTGAGGAAAGGGTCCCATCCTTACGGAGGTCTCTCCGAGTACCCTTTTAGATGATGGCCTCACAGCTCTCAGTGACCTTTTGAAATACTCAAAGGCTGTCGTTCAGAGCGCTGTGGAAAGCAAAATCCCCCTTTTCCTGGTAGGCCTAATTTGGGGAGCTGTGTCCACTTGACTCTAATCCACCAGCTTTTTCCTTCATTTTTGTGGGCTTTGGTTTTGTAACAGGTCTAAATTCTTAAATAGAAACTAGAAGAACAGAAGAGGATAGTCTTCAGACACCTGGTGGCTTTCACCTGCACACATATCATCAAATTAGCAGGGCCTGTGAGGTTTCAAGGGATCATTGTTAAGGTCTTTCATGGGCTGCTGCCATGCTGATAACAGAAGAAGGAATGATACCTGATTTTCTGCAGGTGTGGGAGACACTTCCACTTAGATTTCATCAGAAGCAACTTTATGGATACTGATTTAGTCTCCCTTTTGTCTTGTCTTTTTTTTTTTTTTAACTTCCCCTTTTCTGATCATGAAAAAGGTCTGTCAGGGTCTCACTTAACTCCACAGTTCACCCTCTTCTTTTTTTTTTTTTTTTTT